GCAATCCATGCCCGGTCCGAAGGAGGTAGCAGATCAGCAGAGCAGGCCAAGGAGACCGAATCTCTTACAAAGACCTCAGAAACTTCGGCAACGCTGCCCTGCCGTAAGCATTTTCTGTTTGTCACAGCTTTCTCAGGTTGGTATCAGTGTATTGAAAGAAATTCCATATCAGTCTCAAACGTTGTATACGTTTTATATTCAACAACCTATTACAGCATATGACATTCAAGTTGCGTGCTCTTTGGATACACGCTCAAGCGTGCGTGCTCCTTGATAGGTATTGAAGATAGATCACAAATAATGGACATGTTTAAGCCCAAACCATCCAAGTCATGAAACCAATCACACATTTAATTTTGTTTGAATAAATGAGAGAATAAATTAAATGGATAAATTAAAGGGTAAAATAAATTGTGTTACATGCTAGAACTGGAAGAATAGACCTGGTGCGGGGAATGTGAATAGTGACCAACACGTTGTGGGGAACGTTATTTAACCCATGGATTTAGGGTGAGTCCTTATAATATAGGAAGGTCCCATTGAGATGAAACCAAAGAAGTATGATGGAAGTAAGTTCCAACAGTTTCAAAATAAAGATAAGCAATGTTGTACATTTGAGTGCCTAACTCAAACAACCTCGATGGTATAATCGATTGAGTTACAAATCAACTTATAGAAAAATATACTGAAGATTCTCTTACAGCGAGACTCCCATTTACTATCAAAGCAGATTTTCGTGATACATTACAAACTAGTCTGTAGACAATTTTAAATTCCTGTGCCATCTTTCCACATTTAAGCTTGAACAATGGTTTCGGATTCAAACAGGTATTCTTTTGAGAGTTAAATATTATAATATTTAACTCTCAAAAGAATACCTGTTTGAATCCGAAACCATTGTTGAAAGTTATATATTTTACCTTTAAAGTTGACATTGACAGAGATCTTTTTTCATCATTATGCATGGAAGAAATTCTCGTAACAATGGTCTTTACAAAAAGTGTGGACTCAAGATGATGACAAGAATGGTAATATAAAGAAACGCAATTTTTTGCTATTTTCTTTGAAGAATTTACTAATTGAGCTTTTTTGAGAAATAAATATTATGCAATTTTCAATTTTTTTTTATTCAGAATATTAAAATTTTCATTGTTTATATTTAAAAAATTCTTGCATGATTTTTTTTTCCATGTTAAAATATTGGAATTTTGAAGTAATAGTCTTCTCTTTAAAATGATGACTATCAAAATTTTGTAGGACTTATTTTGTTCTATTGTTTTTATATTCAAGCATGAACACTGTGGCCAGAGCTTTGAAACAGTCAATATATTTCAAATTCCTTTTGTATGAATCAATAAAACATAGTCTTTTTCAGCTTAAGAAAAAATGCCGTTTTTTTAATGTACATTTGGTTAATGATATGATTTTCAAAATCAAGCAAGTGTAATGAAAACACGTATTGTATTGTTGAATTACATGTATTGAATACTTCTTCATACTTAATATTATTATAAATATCATGATTTTTTATTTATATTCCTTTTATTAAAATTTAATTTTCACTTTCAAAAATTTACACATTTTACCATGATCAGTCAAATAAATGAAACTCAAAACATTAATTTTCATCTCTCAAAAGAACACGTTAATCATTGAAATGTATTAACATAAAAAACATTACTTTTAAATTTTTTCACTCTTCTTTCCAAATTAAAATCTAAGAACATATGATAAAACCTGTTTAAGTTTATAGTATGATCTCCACACGTAAATAGATAAGTATATATACTTGTACTTTAAACTCTCTTCTTATAACGTGAAAAAACTGCTTAACATATTTCTTTGTGTTTGTGGAGCTCTTGGGTCATGCTCGTTCGAGACACGATGTCACTCTTTTTTATCCGTCCGTGGTCTTGAAGACTACAAATGATGCAACTGCTCTAGATAGATGGTCGGGATGCTTTCCAGATATTCATAGGTCCGAGATATGGACTGTACCCAGACGTTTCTTTTCTTCGGCAAAGAAGAGAAAACCAAGTGCACAAAATTCAACACGGTCTGTCTTCTGGGTTCATCGCTGCATATAAGTCAAAAGTGTTCTCGACGAGCTTTACAATGAGCGGTTCTGCTATCCTGTCACTCTTCAGTTTGCTGTTCTAATGTACGTACAAAATATTTACAGCCATTTTGCAAAGCATGTAGTATGTCTACTCTGCTAGCCTTCTGAAAAGTCTCATACGTTTCCAAACAGCATAAACAGCTTGATTCTTTAGCCTGGAACGGTTGTTCTTTACCATCACACAACAATAAGAGTGTTCTGGTGTGTGTCAATCTTGTCCAGGATTCCCGTGACGCGATATTCCGTACGCCTTCTCGCTAGCAACTTAGATGGCCATTGTAATATATTGTAATCACCGGTAGAAAAACACACGTGAAGCATACGTGAAGGAAGTTGGCTGTAAAATCCTAAAAGAGCATAGTCTTTAGCTGACCTCGGAATTTTTTCAGTTCTTATTAGCAGCTGTACATGCATGCATGCATGCAGCTGAAAAAAACAATATCAAACTACAGTTATGGATCTGGAACCATGCTAATCGGCCAATAATCGGCCAAATCGATCTTACCGTATATCATATTCGTATATAAAACTTCGTATATCATTGTGGTAATTTTTTTATTCCAAGATTAGCTGTTTGCTTGATGCCTATTTCTTTATAATCTCAAAGAACTTGCGTCAAAAGGATTGATGAAATCACATTTTGCATATGCTTCGTCTTTAGATTGAAGTGAAGTGAAGTGTAGTGAGGGATCGAAGCATAATCTTCCCACTGTAGAAACAGTTGATCAGATCTGCTTTCTAACCGACAGTGATAATGTAAATGTGTAATGTTCTTTGGTATATTTTCCATAATTGTTCAATTCGGTTTGTTTTACTTGAATGACTGGTACAAAAAAGTATGTTAAAGTTTACAAAAAAAGACTTTAACAGAATTGTTATGTTATGTGAAGATTAAAGCTATAATTAGTTTTTTCGTCAAATAGAGCTGAATAGTTTGATACAATGAGTATGACTTGCTCAAAAATAAACAATAATGCAGAAGATATTTTTCATGCAACTCAGCCAAAACGGGTGATAATGTATGAACAATAGTAAGAACTTGACTTTATCAAATTTATTACATTCCAGAAATATTTTGTGATTTTTAATAAGAAATAATTTATTTTAAAAAAAAAATTCATAAATTTGGGGATACCGAAATTTTTAAAATTTCAATTTTTGATGAAGTTTTATGTTTATTGATTCAATCTAAATTCGTATTTTAGATCGATATAAATGATTTGTTTCTTCACATAAGGTCAAGAAATGAAATATTTGAGAGTAAAATAAGTGATAGTATATTATTAAATATATACAATTAGAATAATCTACAATCTTCAGAATACTTTACTAAACCTCATGTTTAGATCATCAATCATGACGATCTAAGCTTTAATATCTGAATCGTAGGTTCTTCATTCCTTGGCGAGAAGAGGTTGTTAATTGACATAGTTTAAGTTGACTTGGAATTTTATGAACAAGCATGGTAGAACCTTTAAGTGTTGAAATCTATATTTCCAATAAATTACTAAAGTATGTACTTAGTGATATTTAAGGTTATATTCCAAAAACTTCACTTTCAAGAATGTTATATTATGTATCATTTATTGATATTTTTCTTTAGATTAATGTGGATATATTTTTAAATACTGTATTACAAACTTGAGTATTTACAAGTTTAAAAATTTGGAACAAACTAGAAACATGGTGAAATATCTAGGTAGAAATTATGACAAGAATAATATTTCCAAAACAGTTTAGAATTTACTACGAAGAAAAGTAAATATGTTGTCATTTTCAAGCTCTCTTTACTAACAAGAAAACATCTTCATTCAATTATGTTGAGAGATAGATTGATCTTAATGAATTTGAAAATGTGAAATGAAAGAAATCCTTGATACATATGAAGAGAATTTAAAATATTAGATTATTTAAATCATTATGTCAATTGAAACAAATTCAATGTAATCGTTGCGAGATTTGATGAGTTCTTGGAAGCACAAGAATTTTTAAAGAGCATGTTTGATGCATGAAAAAACATGTTTGATCTTAGTAAGCAAGTTACTTACATGAATAACATATTCACTTAAGCAAAAAAGAAATGATATTGATAAAATGCAAGAGTCTATGAAAGTTTCATTCAAGATGAAAGGTTGGAATAAGTTTGAGAAAATATTAAGGATTCGTTTTGTTCCAAATTTGAAAAAAAAGCTACTATTAAATAAAAATTTATATTCGAAAAAAGATCAATTTTATGTTCACAAATGCAAAAATGAATCAAAATTTGCATTCAATCAGAAATATTATGATAAGTCCAAAAAAATATTTTGCATATAGTTAATTGACATTTGAAGAACAAATGCTATGAATATATCCAATGAATGTACTCCTAACATTTTTTCATTAAATCTAAATGGTTTATCATAAGATTTATAAGTAATTTGCATAGTTGTAGAGCGCTTAAAGATATATATAATTCAATGTACAAATGATGATATTGAAAATCAAACAAGTTATCAATTTGTTATAACAAAATATTGTACAACATCATAAATTTGATGGTATGCACTGAATTTGATATTGCTCTAGCTATGGATAAGATGAGAAAAATATACTATATTTAGACTAAATGCATTGAGAAATTTTTAAATGCAATTTTAGTTATGGCTAAAAACCTAAAAAAACCAGAATTACTAAGACTTATAATTTTTTTTTAATTTTAAGGCTAGTAAAAAAATGCCAAATCCTTAAGAATCAATACTCATGTTGATTTTGGAACAATAAAAATTTAGAACCTATTATTGTAACTATAATAATTTGATATGCATTACTTTTATTATCACAGAAGATTCGTGAAACAGTACAAAATCCCAGATATTTGTCATTCGAAAGGAACACGGAAGAGAGGAACCTCCTTCAGAGTGAAACTTTGAATGAGGAAAAATAAAACTTTCTCGTCTAAAGTTTCACCGAAGCGGGAGATTGACTATAAGCGAAAACTTGAATCATGATATTCAAAAATATCTGAAGAATTTGTATTTCAAGGACACTACATTGCTACCAATAATAATTAACGTCTTATGGAACAACAATTCCTACGGAGCTGAACCCAATAGCTCTTAGTAATCGCAATCGCAGGAAAAGATCTGCTAGACGACTGTATAGGAGAGCAAGCACGTAGCACATCCATGTAACTGAGTCCGAAGACAGATGAAGTCCTCATCCATGTGTCCTTTCACCAGGGTTGCGTCTTGCGTCGATCACGCATGGGTACAGACAAGATGGAACAAAAAATTAGTGAACGGATGTAACACAGGAATCAACATGAAATCTGAGAACTGCCAAATTCATAACTGTGAAATTGATTTTTCATGGAAAGCTGCACGTGAACGAGCCCAACCGCCCGCTTCAGGCTCCATGAATGCGTCGAGTAGACAGAGCCTCGTCTGTAGTCCGTTTGAACGCCTTGCAAATGACGAAACCAGTTCTAGTGATGTGGGAGTATCAGATTTGCTTCGTACTTGAGAATGGGAAAAGATGGGTTGAGAGAGATCATGCTGGCTGTAAAGTAGCCTCTCGCTCCTCTGAAGGAGCCCGTGCCGGAGTTGATGCCCAGCTCCCAAGATGGGGCGGTGAAGTTGAACCTGCCAGAGGCTGAGATGGTCCCAGAGTAGCCGGAGATTGTGATGTCGTGCACGAAGGTAATGAACCTCTCTACTGGATCATTGAGTGTCACAATTTCTCCCGAGCCGTGGCCGATTAGAGCTGAAGCATTGGAGGAAGTCTTCCTGAGAAAGCTATCGAAGACGATGATATTGCCAAGTGAAGATTGGCCAGTGAGAGACCCGCCGGCGCCGGCGACTAGTACAGCGGTAACGTTTGGCGGCACTAAGTCGTCGTGTAAGTAGTAAGAGAACTTCACGGCCTTGAGCTCCATGGCGCACACAGGGCTCCAGCATCCCGACGAAAGGATACACAGGGCACTGAGAAACACAGCCAGAGTGGATGTCCCATAATTTATCGCCATGCTGTTGCTGTAAATCCGGAGTTCGAGAGGAGAGTTGTTTTACGAAACGAGTGTGAGTGCCTCGCTCAGATCGCTGGGCTAAACTATACTGCTACAAGATATCTGTTCTAGGAACCTGTGAATAAATGGCCTCCTTCAGGCGGAAAATCCCGAATGCAAAAGTTTCGATATTACTTCAACGGGTTAGAAATGAGCGATCTATGCTCACAACCAGGACAGATGCGGCTTATATACGTCCTTCGAAACCAACAGTTGCGGAGCTTTTCATGGATCTATGGAAAGAATAATTGCTCCATCAGAGGGGAGTAAAGTCTACTTAGTAGACTTTGTCTCTCGGCATAATCTTGAATGATCTTCTCATCACAAATCAACGTCCAAACATGTCCTGCTCCATCGGAGCGTGCTTCATCTCCGCAGTCACGTCCTCATGGATCTGAGCAATGATTGCAGGCAATCCATGCCCGGTCCGAAGGAGGTAGCAGATCAGCAGAGCAGGCCAAGGAGACCGAATCTCTTACAATTACCTCAGAAACTTCGGCAACGCTGCCCTGCCTAAGGACCCTTGGAATGTGGTACTGCCGTAAGCATTTTCTGTTTGTCACAGCTTTCTCATGTTGTTATCCAGAGTATTGAAAGAAATTCCATATCAGTTTCAAACGTTGTATACGTTTTAAATTCAACAGCCTATTACAGCATATGACATTCAAGTTGCGTGCTCTTTGGATGCACCCTCAAGCGTGCGTGCTCCTTGGTAGGTATTCGAGATAGAGCACGAATTATGGACATGTTTAAGCCCATGCCATCCAAGTCATGAAACCAATCACACACTTACTTTTGTTGGAATCAATGAGAGAATAAATTAAATGGATAAATTAGAGGGTAAAATAAATTGTGTTACATGCTAGAACTGGAAGAATAGACCTGATGCGGGGAATGTGAATAGTGACCAACACGTTGTGGGGAACGTTATTTAACCCATGGACTTAGGTGAGTCCTAATAATATAGGAAAAGTTTGAAGGTCCCATTGAGATGAAACCAAAGAAGTATGATGGGAGTAAGTTCCAACAGCTTCAAAATAAAGATAAGCAATGTTGTACATTTGAGTGCCTAACTCAAACAAACTAGATGGTATAATCCATTAAGTTACAACTCAACTTATAGAAAAATTTACTGAAGATTCTCTTACAGCGAGACTCCCATTTCTTACCAAAGCAGATTTTCGTAATACATTACAAACTAGTCTGTAGACACATCCGAAAGGACAATTCCTGTGCCATCTATCCACAACTCAACTTAAACAATGGTTTCGGATTCAAACAGTTATTATTTTGAGAGTCAAATATTATATATTTTACCCTTAAAGTTGACATTGAGGGACAATGACATATTGAAGTTGATGTCATAATGATAAGACCAAAAAAATATAGAAAATATAGAGCTTCAGAAAAAAATGGATATGAAAATGTAACATTCGATAAAATTGGAAAGACAAGTTTGTTGAATTAACTTTGATTAAGGAGAGTAGGAAAAAATTAATTAAAGTCATGATTGGGATCTTATTGAGTCTGTATATATATATATATATATATATATATATATATATATTCATATGAAGATTATGCATCCCTTGCAATAATATCAATAAACCCAATAACAAATCAATTTGTATATTGTGATTATCTACTTACAAAAAAAATGAACGTTCAAGTTGCGTGCTCTTTGGATGCACGCTCAAGCGTGCGTGCTCCTTGATAGGAATTCAAGATAGAGCACAAATGATGGACATGTTTAAGCCCATGCCATCCAAGTCATGAAACCAATCACACACTTACTTTTGTTGGAATCAATGAGAGAATAAATTAAATGGATAAATTAGAGGGTAAAATAAATTGTGTTACATGCTAGAACTGGAAGAATAGACCTGATGCGGGGAATGTGAATAGTGACCAACACGTTGTGGGGAACGTTATTTAACCCATGGACTTAGGTGAGTCCTAGTAATATAGGAAAAGTTTGAAGGTCCCACTGAGATGAAACCAAAGAAGTATGATGGGAGTAAGTTCCAACAGCTTCAAAATAAAGATAAGCAATGTTGTACATTTGAGTGCCTAACTCAAACAACCTAGATGGACCATCGAGTAACAAATCAACTTTTAGAAAAATATACTGAAGATTCTCTTACACCGAGACTCCCATATATTAGCAAAGCAGATTTTCGTAATACATTACAAACTAGTCTGTAGACACATCCGAAAGGACAAATTCCTGTGCCATCTATCCACAACTTGACTTAAACAATGGTTTCGGATTCAAACAGGTATTCTTTTAAGAGTCAAATATTATATATTTTACCTTTAAAGTTGACATTGAGGGCTAATGATATATTGAAGTTGATGATAAGACCAAAAAATTAAATTAAGATTTTTAGAGCTCCAGAATAAATTGAATATGAAAATGTATCATTCGATAAAATTGAGTTAACAGTCAATTAGAAAAGTAGGAATCAATTAATTTAAGTCATGATTGGGATCTTATTGAGGCTGCATATAAATTTTCTTATATGAAGATTAAGGATCACTTCCACTAATTTCAATAAACCCAAAAAAATTCAAATAATATATTGTGATTATTGACTTACAAAAAAAATGAACGTTTGGATCGATAAGATATGTCTACATCTAGAGAGATCTTTTTTCATCATTATGCATGGAAGAAATTCTCGTAACGAAGGTTTTAAAAAAAATTGTGGATACAAGATGATGACAAGAATGGTAATATGAAGAAACACAATTTTTTTCCTATTTTCTTTGAAGAATTTACTAATTGAGCTTTTTTGAGTAATAAATATTATGCAATTTTTACTTTTATTTATTCAGAATATTTCAATTTTCATTGTTCATATTTTTAAAATTCTTGCATGCTTTTTTTGCAAGTTATAATTTTGGAATTATGAAGTAAGATTCTTCTCTCTAAAATGAGTCCTATCAAAATTTTGTAGGACTTATTTTGTTCTATTGTTTTTATGTTCAAGCATGAACACTGTGGCCAGAGCTTTGAAACAGTCAATATCATTCAAATTCCTTTTGTATGAATCAATAAAACATAAGAATTGTTATGTAAAGATTAAAGCTAAAATTAGTTTTTTCGGCCAATAGAGCTCAAAGATGACTTGCTTAAAAATAAACAATAATGCAAAAGATATTTTTCATGCAACTCAGCCAAAACGGGTGATAATGTATGAACAACAGTTAGAACTTGATTTTATCAAATTTATTACATTCGAGAAATCTTTTGTAATTTTTAATAAGAAATAATTTATTTTCAAAAAAATAATTATAAATTTGAAGATACTGAAATTTTTAAAATTTCAATTTTTGATGAAATTTTATGTATATTAATCCAATCTAAATTCGTATTTTAGATCGATACAAATAATTTGTGTCTTCACACATAGGTCAAGAAATGAAATATTTGAGGGCAAAATAATTGATAGTATAATATTATATATATACAATTAGAACAATCTACGATCTTCAGAATACTTTACTAAATCTCAAGTTTAGATCATCAATCATGACGATCTAAGCTTTAATATCTGAATAGTAGGTTCTTCATTCCTTGGCGATAATAGCTTGTTACTTGACATAGTTTAAGTTTACTTGGAATTTTATGAACAAGCATCGTAGAACCTTTTAGTGTTGAAATCTATATTTCCAATAAATGACCTAAGTATATACTTAGTGATGTTTAAGGTTATATTCCAAAAACTTCACTTTCTAGTATGTTATATTTTGTATCATTTATTGCTATTTTTCTTCAGATTAATGTGGATTTATTTTTTAATATAAAAAACTTGAGTATTTACAAGTTTTAAAATTTGAAACAAAATAGAAACAAGGTGAAATTTCTAGGTAGAAATGATGACAAGAAAAATATCTCCAAAAAAGTTTAGAATTGACTGCAAAGAAAAGTAAATATGTTGTCATTTTCAAGCTCTCTTCACTAACAAGAAACCATCTTTATTCAAGTATGTTGAGAGATATATTGATCATTATGAATTTGAAAATGTGAAATGAAAGAAGTCCTTGATACATATGATTTTTAGTTGACTGAAATCATTATATCAATTGGAACAAATTTTATGTAATCGTTGCGAGATTTGATGAGTTCTTGGAAGCACAAGAATTTTTAAAGAGCATGTATGATGCATGAAGAAACATGTTTAATCTAAGTAAGCAAGTTATTTACATAAATGACATTTTCACTTTAGCAAAAAAAGATTTGATATTGATAAAATGCAAGAGTCTATGAAAGTTTTCATTCAAGATGAAAGGTTAGAATGAGTTTAAGAAAATATTATAGATTCATTTTGTTCCAAATTTGAAGAAAAAGCTATTATCAAATAAAAATTTATATTCGAAAAAACATCAATTTGATGTTCACAAATGCAAAAATGAATCAAAATTTGCAATCAATAAGAAATATTAGTATAAGTCCAAAAGAACTGTTCATTGAGATTTGAAGAAAAAATGCTATGAATATATCCAATGAATGTACTCGTAACATTTTTTCATTCAATCTTAATGGTTAAGCATAATTATTAATATAATTCAATGTACAAATGATGATATTGAAAATTAAACAAGTTATCAATTTTTTGTAACAAAATACTGTACAACATCATGAATTTGATGGTATGCACTGATTTTGATATTGCTCTAGCTATGGATTAGATGAGAAAAATATACTATACTTAGAATAAATGCATTGAGAAGTTTTTAAATGAAATTTTAGTTATGGCTAAAAAACTAAAAAAACTAAAATCACTAAGACTTTTAGTTTTTTTAATTTTATGGCTAATCAAAAAATGCCAAATCCTTGATAATCAATACTAATGTTGATTATGGAACAAAACAAATTTACAACCTATTATTATACCTAAAATAATTTGATATGCATTACTTTTATTATCACATAAGATTCGTGAAACAGTACAAAATCCCAGATATTTGTCATTCGGAAGGAACACGGAAGAGATGAACCTCCTTCGGAATGAAAATTTGAATGAGGAAAAATAAAACTTTCTCATCTAAAGTTTCACCGAAGCGGGAGATTGACTATAAGCGAAAACTTGAATCATGATATTCAAAAATATCTGAAGAATTTGTATTTCAGGGACACTACATTGCTACCAAAAATACTTAACGTCTTATGGAACAACAATTCCTACGGAGCTGAACCCAATAGCTCTTAGTAATCGCAATCGCAGGAAAAGATCTGCTAGACGACTGTATAGGAGAGCAAGCACGTAGCACATCCATGTAACTGAGTCCGAAGACAGATGAAGTCCTCATCCATGTGTCCTTTCACCAGGGTTGCGTCTTGCGTCGATCACGCATGGGTACAGACAAGATGGAACAAAAAATTAGTGAACGGATGTAACACAGGAATCAACATGATGTCTGAGAACTGCCAAATTCATAACTGTGAAATTGATTTTTCATGGAAAGCTGCACGTGAACGAGCCCAACCGCCCGC